TTAGTAACAAGAAGGTGGTAGTGGCACATTGGCTTCAAGTTCTACTTGTTCCAACTGCTTTTGAACTGGAGTAATGGTGCTCTGTGGTACTTGCTGTATTTGTAACCATTTTGAATAAACCTGGATGGATACAGATCAATGTCTAAGCTAGTGTTGTGTGAATGTGTAGGTGTACATTGCAACGTTCGCTGTATCGGGATATGCCTCCAGTTACTACAGAGCAGGAGGGAAACCTTTCAACCCAGTGCTGGGGGAGACGTATGAGTGTGATCGGCCAGATAAAGGATTTCGCTTTATAGCAGAACAGGTATGAGTATATTCGTGCTGGTTATATTCTGGGTTTGTTTATGTACATATTATTTAGGTATGTCACTCTGTTACCTGTTTGTGTTTTTCTCTCTTTAGGTCAGCCATCACCCCCCTATATCTGCATGCCATGCTGAGTCGAAAAACTTCATCTTCTGGCAAGGTAAAATGTCAGTCACAGGTAGATATGTTTATAGTACAGATGAGCGCTGAGGCTCTGTGGGCAGTCTGCTCTCAAAGTGACCCTGATGTGTGTGTGACGCATTCAGATGTGAGGTGGAAGAACAAGTTCTGGGGGAAGTCCATGGAGATTGTTCCTGTTGGCACAACTCATGTAGTGCTCCCTGGGTAAGTGCTCTAATACGCTGACTATTTTTCTGTCACTCCCACACACATTAAGACCGATTTTGACGTTACCTGTGCCATGCAGTTTTCTGTCTGTTCTCTATGTGCACATGAACACATGCAGTTTTATTACCAGTTAGAGCTGTCAGAGATGTTTACTATATGTGTCTCAGTGTGGGAAAGCCCACTGGATATCACTGTGGCTGAATTCTGGTCAAGAGTCGGAAAAGGCCAAAAGGTTTTAATAGATTTAATAGATTCGAAAATATTTTGATGCCCCCACTTCTAGAAACCAAAAATATATTTCACTAAAACAACATGGAATATTATTATAATTATAATATTATTATAATATTTTAATATTATTTAGTAGTTAATCTTGCCTAACCTATCTTCCTGCAAAGATAATGTCAGGTTATGATCCAGTTCAACAAATGTGGTGGTAAAAACAGGCAGTCTGCCTAAAGATGTTCCAAATCTTATATAACAACAGCCTCAGAGATGTTGAGTACAGGTCCATATTCTGGAGGTTTATTTTACACGAAAATCAAGGTCAAGACAATCCAGGTCGATACTAAAAGTAGTTAGAATGCAAACAAATCCAAATCAGTAGCAAAGGCAGGGTCAGAACAGGGTCACTGGGCAGAACAGTGTCAAAAATACCAAATACCAAAAATACCATCAAAATCAGCATACAGAGCTCAGAGGGCTAGACAAGGTGCAGAGTCAAGGTGAGGCAAAACAAGGTCACAACAAGGTCAAAATCACTATCCAAAAACACAACTCAGGTTTTGCACTACAGCTAAAGTCCATGTGACTTATATGTTGGGTACCCAGGAAGTAAGCTGGGTAACCGAATAAGTCATCAAAATTCAGGGGAGGTTGCCCTCTGGTGCTCCGGAGGGGGATTGCCTGGGTTTAGTGTTGCACCTTGCTTAGTGTGATTTCTTCACACAGTCATCAGTCATGAATGTCATGCCATAGTAAAATGGACATAAGCCTAATCGATTCAGTGACCTGTGCCATAGTCAGACTCCAAACTTTAAAATATTCATGTTCAGGAAAATGTAGTTTTCAGAACTATATATAGCAAATAATTTCAAAATTTCATCATGTGAAAGGTTTTACCAGGACACCACATAAATACTGTTTGAATCTTCATCATAGGCCTATACGGTATATGTATTCGGGGTCAGAATATCCACATTTGAATGTTTAACATCCCATATTCTACTCTAGCTGACATAAAGTAAGTCTATGGAAGGGGAGACTAATGCACAAACAGACAGTGTGGCTGCAGCTTTTCATTGCAACCACACCTGAGTATGTCACTTTAATGAGCTGGTCTGGGTCTTCAAACAACTTTTAATTGTGGCTCCTGCTTAGTTAGAATTAAAACCTACAGTCACACCAGCTCTTTGTGGACAAGACAAGACACTCCTAGTCTATTGGATCTTTTGTTTGCTGAACATTTTCTGGCTGAATGCAACTTGTGTTGCTTGATTAGGTGAAAGGGCAGTAAATAAATGTATGTTATTTACGGCAAACTTTATTGACGTGTTTTTATTTATACAGTTATTTTCTTTAAAATTAAATAAATATAATAATATTTATGAAATGCATTTATTAGAGATTTCTGTTGCTGATTCCTAAATGATGTTCTGCTGGGCACAGAGTGCACTAAGTAGTTTCTGGAACACCATTATGTAGTGAGCACATATAGGGAATAGGAAGTCATTTGGGATTTGGCCTATTTTAAAGGATGCTTTAAAAATCTTTAAAAAATAGTCTTGCATGAAGATGAATTTTACATTTCATGTAGCCTATGTAATGTAAAATTTAGTTAGATATCAGTGATTAAATAATATTATTTGGGTAAATAAAAACAAATAAAAACCTTACGTTTCATAGAACAGTTGTGACATTGCCTTCTTGACTTCCACGGTCTACGTGTTACAAACACATAGAGTAGCGCTATAGCTAATATCTGCCCTGTCTGTGGCAGTGTTTTATAATTAATATTGTAACTCTTTTAGGTAATCAGCATTTGGGTGTAATTTTAAATCCCTGCTTTCTTTAAATCACAGCTTGGGAGACCACTATGAGTGGAACAAAGTGACATCGTGTATTCACAACATTCTGAGTGGTCAGCGCTGGATCGAGCACTATGGGGAAATCTCCATTAAGAACTCCAGCAGTGATATCTGTCAGTGTAAAGTCACCTTTATCAAGGTGAGCTACATTTCCCCACATGCTGGTAGACATCCACTGAAATTAAATCCTTGTGCTGTGTAACCTCTATCTCATTCACTGCACTGTATGATGTTGAAGGATCATATAGCACATATAATCATATAATTAGCTAAACTTTATTTATGTATATATAGTTCTAAACTCCCTGTATACACTGATTTATAGCAACTGCTTCTGATTATCAAGAGTCTAAGTATGTTGAATTACTTTATCTAGTAGAAGGCTGTTCATGTAGAGAAGAAGAAAGATCTGTGTGAAGCAAATGAACCTAAACCATTTCGTCACTCTTGCTACTACAGTATATGGAGAAGTAGAGGAATGCTATATTTCAATTCTCAGATTCTGAGAGAGCCATCACACAGAAGGTCCACCCAGAGACAGACGCATCCTTTAGCACAGTGATGGGAGTGCTATGGTAGCGATTGTGGGAGAATAGAAATTGACATTGGCACGGTTCCAAAGACAAGCCACGGCTTCTAAAGTTACAGGTCACTCTGATGAAGAGAGTAAGGGGCAGAGAGAGAATGAGATAAATACAGGGTGAGAGAGATAGAGAGGGAGGAGAGAGGAAAGAAAGAGGTGATTAATGACAGTTCATCCTCATTATTTCACCACTGACTCATTGATGTCTCAGCAGTGCCATCTGCTGAAGAGCAAGGACACACACTGCATGCGATCTGCCTATAGGCTCATTCAGGAAAGCTGCTTTACTATCAGTTGTATAAAAACAAGGCCCTTTTTCTTTTGGACTGATGTCCTCTGTTTCAGAAAGAACACTTCTGACAGTGTGTTGATCTTGGACTGTTTGGACTGAGACAATGATGACGATGCTGCTTTTTGTTTGTGTGCATTGCAGGCAAAGTACTGGAATTCCAGTATGAACGAGGTGGAAGGAACAGTTGTGGACCATAAAGGCAAGGTGGTACACAAGCTGTTTGGGAAGTGGCATGAGGGTATATACTGTGGAAGCCCACCATCAGCTACATGCATCTGGAGAACCAGTAAGATTCACATACATATAGTCCAACGCACATTTCTTCACCTCTGCCAGGAATCCTGTAACCAAATTGTAGTCCAGCAGATGGTGTATTGCAGCTGAATCAGAAACCGTTTAATGTAATGCAATGCCACGTGCATTAAAATCAAGCATTTCCGATTTATAAATACTGCTAGCCAAGAAACGTCTATGTGATTGAAGCACACTGACCAATAACATATGATTTACAGCATACATGCAAACTATATAGCTTTTGTTAATCACAATTACTAAGTCACATCACATTTTCTTCTTGATGATGAACTTTTTTTTCTTTCAGTGACACATATAATAAATTATGTCTTTTATGGTGAGTCTAATGAGCTTCATATTGTTGATGTAGATCCAATGCCTGCTGACTACGAGCAGTACTACGGCTTCACTAAGTTTGCTCTTGAGCTGAATGAACTGGATCCACAGACCAAACCTTTACTGCCGCCCACGGACACGAGATTACGTCTCGATCAGAGGTAAACCCATTTAGCATTTTGCATTTCTGCACATAGCAGGAATCTAGGTAAGTGTTATTAATAAAGATAAAGATAAAAATATTTGATTTTACTTCCATTTCAATTCAAGAATCCAACTGACTGGGAGAAATTCCTTACAGAATATATTTTGATATATTGGAAAATACTATGCAACAATGCCACATATTTCAAATATATGTCAATATATATGCATTTTCCACAATGTATTTAAAATAGAGTATATTGATAAATATATTGTTATGTATGTGTTACTGTAGTACAAAGGCCAGACAGACACAAAACCCCATACAGTAATAAATGCTTAATAGGAACAAAACTACTCAATGGATGTCCAAGTGAAAATATTTTTAAAAATGAAGTATTAAAGTGTGATGGACAAAGAGTCATATAGTTCAGCCTATTAAATGCCATACTGAATATGTTGTTGTTATTCCTCTTTCGGCTGCTCCCATTAGGGCTCGCCACAGCGGATCATTGGTCTGCGTATTTGATTTGGCACGATTTTTATCTGGGCTTGGGACCGGCACTGAGAGTGCGCTGTTGCACGCAACCCCAGTGGCTGAGGTCGGTTCCCTGGCCTTGAATTGATCCCAGGCCACAGTGGTGAGAGTGCTGTGGCCTAACCACTAGGCCTCCAGGGACCCATACTGAATATATTTTGAAATAATCATAAGGGCATTAAAAAAAAGCATCAGGCAGCATTACAGCTTACAGCTTCTGGGTCCCCGGGTCAAGCCTGAGCTCAGATTACTGTCTGTGTGGAGTTTTTCATGTTCTCCTCAAGTCTGTATGGGTTTCTTCTAGGATCTCTTGTTTCCTCCCATCTCCCAAAAACATGTTAGTAGGTTGATTGGCTATGCTAAATTGCCCCTAGTTGTGAATGTGTGTGCATGGTGTCCTGTGTTGAACTGGTGTCCCAGCTAAGGCATGTCTTTGCCTCACGCCCCATGTTCCAGGCTCTGGATTCACTGCGACTTTTTGTTGACTCATAGTGTGAAAAGTGATATTCATGTCCTACTATGTCCTACTATGTCCTGACACAGTCGTCTCTTCTATAATAATGCCCCGACATTAGTGCGTTTATGAATTGTGATGTACACAGCAGGGTGATTCATTACTTCAGTTTCATCATTTCGCTTCCGGGCTGCCAGAAGATGACATGCTGCATCAAGCCTTATGGAATGCAAGACAAAGGGACAACGCCATGTTTCCTAACATGCCATCTGTGTGTGTGTAGGTTACTGGAGGAGGGGAATGTTGAGGGTGCAGAAGCACAGAAGCAGAGAATCGAGCAGCTACAGAGAGATAGGCGCAGAGTCCTCGAGGAGAACAACATGGCACATCAGCCACGGTTCTTCCAGTAAGAACCACTCCAGTAACACTTTCCTTCTCAGTGCAACGTCTATTCATTTTAGACGCCCTGCTTATTAATCACTTACACGTTTTAAAGCATTCAGATACTACTATGAATTAAACAGTAACTACTGTGTAACTAATAGAGACGGTATATAGTTTTGAAACTAAGGATTGTAAGGGTGTAAATATGCATTAACTCATAGCTCCTGGGAGTTTAAGGTGCAAACTACCAAGCCCTTCAGGATTTGAGTGTTTAAGCCACAGAATGTATATAAAATTAACTGTGTTCAAGTGGTTGAAAAGTGTAGCTAAGGGTCTCAGACACCCTCTAGTGGCTCACTGCAGTACAATATTTAATCCCACCCACATTTGTATTAGTAAATGAACACAGGACCAAAATATCAATTCAGTTTACACCTTTAGAATTTTTAATTTTTTTTTTTGGCAGTTTTGCTGTTCTATCAGTCCTCACTTTAATATGTGTTGTGATATTTGTCATTACAATAAATGTGACGATATTATAGGATGATGAGCAGATTGACAGGCATGGGTTGAGTTAATTAACAGCTAGAAGAGATGCTTTTGCCTCATGCATGCTTGTTTTCCGTTACTAAACAGGCCATGGTCTGCTCTACATCCTCTGGGCCTGAGTTTGATGATTTTTAGATACCTTAAAATTTATTTGCTTTAGCATTTGAGCAATATTTGCTAAAATAGTTGTAGTATTCTTTTATTTGTTCTCATTTTGAGGATAGATGATATACATAATGGGCTTAGGAGAAATTAAAAGATTTTTGTATGCTTAAATGTAGCCTTGGATAACTGTCATTGTTATTTTTTTTCTTTGCTAAATCATTACCACAACCATACAAAACCATTAAATTAAATACCTTTTTACAAGGCCATAGCTTAATCCAATTTTTTTTGGCCTGATACTTACAGGAAATCCAAAGATGACACATGGGTCAGCAACAACACTTACTGGGACCTGAGGAAAGATCCAGGCTTCAGTAATCTGGATTGTCCAGTGCTCTGGTGAACTACAGCTGAACAGTGCACACTCGCAGGCCTCTTCTGTCTCCTCACTACAGCCTGCTCTGACCTTCTATATATGGAAAAAAGCATATCATGCAGTGGAGGGTGCAAACTGACCCTACAGAGACAAAACTCTGACGAAGGCAATTTTTTTGCCTGATAATCACACTGAAGAAGAACTTGACTGAACTGCAACACTGTTTCCTGGAACTTCACCATATTCAAGTACCCCTTTGTTATGTAGTTTTCCATTTTAAATGCCTTAATATGCTTCTTTATTTTACAGGGTGTTTATGCAGGCATCTTCCTCGAATGTCTAGAAATTATGCAAACATATCCCAGTTTGTCATCTCTATCACTGCGGTGTGCAACTAGTAGCACAGAATACTGACACGTACACTGTTGCATACTGTACTCTTGTAGTACAGAGTGATACTGCAGAAAGTAAAAAGTCTTGCCTGAAATAAAAGAACTTGCGCATGCATGTCTGAAATATGCTGTCATCTGATCAAAGTAACATTGTCTACCTCCTAAAAGAGATGGTACTCTTGTGTATAATATGGGGAACATATTGTAGTATGAATTCCACACTTGTCTTATGCCTTATGGTCACACATATTCCTTAACATCTTTATTATAGCCTTTAATTATGTTTTTAAAAAAAAACTGTGTATCATGTATCACAATGTTGCTTGCATCTGAGAAATAATCACACATCTTTGTTTCAAATACTAGTTACCACACTGCATTTGAATAATTCAGCTTTTTTGTAATCTGTGTTCATCACGTTCTTCCTTGAAAAGACAGCAACTGAGGATATCACATTGACCACTGTTAAGATTCCTCTCTTCTTCAATAAACCAATCATATCTGTGACTAGCCTTTTATTATTATTTATTATGTTATGATGCTCCATTCACTAAATAAAATGATGCTCACTGTTCTATCCTGTAGTGTAGTATATGCGCTATTATTAACTGCTGTTCAAATGCCGTCACTTTGAACAATGTAAATAACATGGAAGCTATAAAGCATTGTCCTTGTGCTATGGTACAAGTGATACATTAAGCAGCGTTTCTGCTGAGATGTGTGAGGACTTTGGTTTGTTGCTGCACTGAGCTTAAATATGGTTGAGAAGTTTTGAGATTTGTATCCACTTGTCCCGACAGACATGTTGTGCATGTGGATTTGGCACCACTGAATTTTCAAAAATCTTTGTAATGGCAGATTTACGACCTGCAACCATATTATAAGTAACCCCTGTATGTAGTTTTTGGACTGTTCTTGCTAAATATTACAGATCACAACTTGCATTCTCAGTCATTCTTAGTCATCTGAAGAACAGTTGCTCTTCTGTTTTTCCCTACATATCACACTAATGCATGAGTATCACAACTGAAAAAAAAAAAATGAAATAAGTGCCAGCTCAATTTACTGTCTTTCCCATAACTGTGACATCACTCTTACTAGTGGCCCCAATAGTGATGATAGCCCTCTTTCAACGTCATCTAGATCTTTATGTCTTCCCATCTTGGTCCAAAATCAAGGTCACCTGAGTCTGCTCAGCACTTTTTGTACATGCCTCATGAGATTTAAAATACTACTTGTATTATGTACTACAATCTGTCTGGATGTGTCTGTCTCCACCCATATACTCATTATGTTTCTCCACCCAACCTCTGACACATTTGGTATCTGTAGCTGAATTCCATTTTAAAAAAAAAAGCCATACAAATCCAGTGTTTTCTTCCACAGTCACATCCAAATCACTTGCCTGGGATACAACACTAAAATCCTATTGGAAGAAAGGAAGCATGTTTGATGGGCAGTAGAGTACTTCAAGAAAACTAGAGAGTTGTCTGGCTTCTTTACATGTTGGTGGTCCACATCATGTGTTTTTCTACAAATAACAGAGCCTGGGATGCCACAGAGACCAAAAATATAAAAGTATATATTTTATTGACCGCTGCCAACATGTGAGGAGAAGTTCCACTAGATTGTGGAATGTGAATGTAGGTCAAACCCTGATGTCAGGAGGAGGCCTGTATTGCTAATTAGTAGCCTCAGGTGTGTAATCAAGAGTGGTTTCAGTCTCCCTTATAGTGTTAATTGTGGGCAGTTCTTACTAAGATATATTGAAGGAGTAACCAGCTCATTATTCAGTGTGCTCTGAGTGTTTTCTATCATGGATGTGTTTTCTGCTAACAAGGTAGGAATCAGGTTCTTGTGTACTATCTGCTTGGTTCTGTTGAATTTAGCCTTAATGACTTTAGTATTGTTGATTTGTAGTATTGTAAGTGTCTGTTGGTGTATCTAAGCAATATCGCAAGAGCAAGAGTGTCATTGTACTGCATATCAGCACGGTTGTGATTTGGCTGTAGATAATCACAGCCGTGCTGATGTTCAGTACAACAGTATAATTGGGATTATGATGTTGCTTTTATATAACAGTTCTATAAACAAGAAATTAATATCAAGTAACTGACATTCAGACACAATATGGCCAAATATTTTGTTTTTTAACTCCACCAATGAAAATAATTACCAAAGAAGCCACAGCTTAATAGTGTGCTGCATGTTTCCATTCAACAAAGACTGATTGACAGCCCATAGTAAGTGTACTGACAGTTTCAGTGTAATAAACTTGCTAGAATTTAAATTTTATGTAGCGATCACAGACAAGTGGAGTGAAATACTAACAGTTACAAACAGTTTTAATTACAAACAATTACAAACAGTGAAATGTACCAGTGCTGTTATAACTAAATATCAGCACTCTTGGAATGCTTGTCCACTCTTGGAATCAAATTGGTGACCCAGAACTAACTGTTATATAATGCTAATTAGTTGTCTCAGGTGTGTAATAAAGAGTGTTTTTGTCTCCCTTAGTTGTGGGAGACTTACTGAGATATGTTGAAGGTGTAACCAGCTCAATATTCAGTGTGTATAATTTTTTTTTCTATTTTGGGTTTATTCTTTGCTAGTAAAGTAGGATTCTGGTTCTTGTGTACTATCTGCTTAGTTCTGAGTCCCACAGGGAGGAGTCAAAAACTTTTAGATTAAATATCAAAAACTTGCAATGCAAAGGCAATTTCAGTGGATTAAAGGTTTCAACAGCACAACAATTCTTGGCTTATATAGCCTTGTTTACAGTTTATGAAACTAACTTTCATCATGCTGACCTGTTTCACACTATGTGGCCATAAGTATGTAGACACCTGACCATCACATTCATATGTGCTTTTTAAAC